CTGCGCTTTTTCTCCAGCCGTGGTGACGTATCCTCGCCCAACTCGTCAGCGGGCTGCGCAGTCGGGGCACATGCTGCTTTTGCAAGCTTGAGGGCTTGGAGAGCTTTTAAGGTTCGGGGCGAGGGCCATCAGCGACTTGATTGCCACCTCGGAATCCGCATCCGCCAGCCGTGCGTTGACTTCGACCTCTGTGCCAGCAAGGAAGACAGAAAGCAGGCGGTGACAAAACAGCAAGTTTGCACCTTTCGTTCAAAACAAAACCGAATGGAGTCGGCGTCACAGGCAGCGGCTCACAAAGTCGGTTACATGCCAGGGTCCCAAACTTCCATTGGTATGGGCGTAGGCATCGACCTAAAACAAGACCCATTGCAAAGAGTGCAAGCGTCGGATAAAGTATACCCTGTAGTGGTTGGTCAGTCCTGGTCAGTCCTGTCCAGTCCTGTTCAGCAAGCGGTGAAACCAAATTAGGCTGAAGTGGTTCTTACCGCCAGCCACGGTCTTCATTGACACCAAGTCCACCAAGCCTTCTTCAGACAATGTTTTGGCGATGGCGGCATCGGCCGACTGCCCGATGGGGTCCATCCCAAGCGTTTCCACGATGGCTTCGGCCATGTCCCTGGTGAAGCCCAACCCCGTCAATTTTGCCAGCTTTTGATGCTTCTGCAGAAGGTTAACACCATTGGGAATAGAACAGGCATGGAACGCGACTTGGTGTAAATGTGAGAAAAGTGCACCATTGGTGCACCCTGCCAGTTCTTCAGTCAGACGCAGTCCAACCCGTTCTTACCTTGTCCGGCCCATGCACATCCACATCCAGGGCACCATCGGGTGCCATTCTGGAAGAGATAACAAACGGTCGTCGGGCTGTTACTAGCTTGCGCTTAACAATGTGGGCGTCTTCCAAGACGAAGTTTGGGACACTTTGAATAAGACCCGAACGAAATCTGTATGCAATCTGCAGACCCTACTGGGGGACAAGTCCGCAGGAGGCGTATCAACATGCAAGACGTTATCAACAGCAAGCCGGTTTGGGGGTCCAAGTACAGCCTGTCACGCTGACTAGTTGGACAAGGCTGTATGCTCTTCTGTGTGAAGGCAGAATGACTTCACCAGGAGAGCAGCAAGAATGAAGTCGCCACTGCGACCCAGTTATACGACAGCACCACAGAACCAGCCTTAGAAGCTCCGGTCGCTTCGCTCCGTCGCATCTAAGCCAACAAGACGTTATCAACAGCAAGCCGCTTTGGGGGTCCTGGCTCAAAGTGAGGCCCACCCTGGAGTTAGTTGTTCAGCTTTCAAGTACTTCCTCAAACAAACTGCTTCTCTAGTACTGTGATGTTGTACTGGTTATATTCATGCAAACTGAGCTAAAGTTGCAAGGCGCGAAGATGCTGGCCGCATCATGCCGCACCGCATTCCCAAGCCAGTATGCACAACTCTGAGAAAATTTGCAGTCTTCATTGTTTTGTTGTGGCACAACTCCACGTATCTCTGCACATTAGTGCATAGGAGCAATTCTTGCGCAGATGTCCAAGTCGACTCAAAAGCATTCCAATTGGACTGTCTGGCTTGATGTAATGTTATCAGGTTGTTTGTCGTAGCGCTTTGGCGCACCCAACGCGGAATGTTGGCGCCGGACTGTGCAGCTGAACTCCTGCGCTATGGGTGAACCAATGGTGCACCCGTTCCTTCGCCATCATCAGCACGTTCCCAGCCATGGACATTTTGACAGAACACCCTTGTATGTTCTGCCATTCTAACCACAGCATTATAATTTGTTGTTGTGGCCGTCTATCGAACATAACAATCCTTCCTCCCTTAGGACGCGCTATTTGCACTAGCAGCCAGTGTGCAATTAGATACGTAGACCTCTGTGATGCGAGTTCTTCCTCAGTTGAGATCCGCTTCAACGAGCGTTTGTCGCTTCAGTCTGCTTCGGAACGAACACAGCCAGGCGGAATTTGACGGTGTTGGTCCATAAGGATCCCTGCCGCTCTGTGCGACTCCTGTGTCTTTAGGTAGCATAGTTCTCGTTTGCTTACCTTTGCTAAACCCCAGAATCGAGGCGCCCAACTCAACGACGCAGCAACATAATAGGCATCAGGACGCCAACATGCATCGCCAAACCACACCCTCCACGCAGCAAAGGCGAAGCAAACGTACCCAGTACCGTACACTGGTAACGCCTACCACCTATACGCCAGCAAGGGACTCCCCACTCGCCCGCGACACCACGATGAGGCAGACAGCCTGCAACCTGGACGATCCATCACATACACAAGCGGAGAACAATCTGATTCGAGTGAATACCGGCAACAAAAACAGACAAATCGGGTGTCGGCTTCCTCGAAGCCAGAAAACAGGCGGGGGCCCCCTGCCTCCGTACAGGCCGGTAGCTAGAGTAGTGTCAACGTGGTGGGAGCTGTGCTTGTTGCAGCAGTGCTGATGCTGTGGGGCTATGCTTGTCAGAGCGCGGGAGCAGGGTTCTTCACCATGGTACCCAAAAATTTCGGCCGTGTCCGAAGCCCTCTGAATAACTTTTCGGGGCCCTCCCCGATAATTTTCCTGTCAGCCGGAGAGTGTTTTCGGGTACCCCGAAACTGTCTGAAGCGGTTTTCGGGGTAAAATTTAGCTGGATTCTATCGTTATATGCTAGGACGGCTGAACTAACAGGTGACTTTATTTTGGAACATAGCTCCAGGGAGAAGTATTTCAGCAAGGATTTTACCCAAAGCAAGGCCATCTTAGACTTCATAACTGAAAACTCTTCCTAAAAAACGTCAAGTTCGCCAGAGGGATGCAAAGAATAGGGATTGGGTTCGGGTACCGGTCAGGCAGGAATTAGGATTCGGAAAGAGGGGCAGGATTAGGATACAAAGTTGAGGCCAGGTTTAGGATGAGGACCCGAGTGTAGGATTAGGATTGCGACCCGGCCCCAGGATTAGGATTGCGACCCGGCCCCAGGATTAGGATTGCGACCCGGCCCCAGGATTAGGATTGGGACCCGGCCCCAGGATTAGGATTGGGACCCGGCCCCAGGATTAGGATAAATACCTAAATCCAGGATTACGATTAGTACACTGGTATTGGATTAAGGTTAGGGCACCGCAATGATTGGCAATTAGGATACTGCTATGTAGGAGGACTATCAAATCCAGCTACCGTTCAGACTGCGTTAGAAGGTTGCTATGCCATGTCATACTAAGTGATGTCGCGTGTGATGTGTGCGCTCATGCTCCTGATCACGGAAGCCATACGCTCCAGGAGCTCCAGCCATGCTTCTGACAGGCGTCTGCTGATCAGTAAAATTGCGATAAAACAATCTGCCCCTCTGCTGATCAGTAAAATTGACGAGGACGGACTAGACACGAAGACGTATGGATGGCGTCCGCGCCTCCTCCGGAACCAACTGCACGACATTGAGGGACGCTTCCCAAGGCAGTCGCGTGGTATGCGTCCTTATAAAATATTAGTAGGTTAAATGTCGGAAACTTTATGAATAATTTTTCTACAATGCGCACGTGCTAACATTACTGGCTCAATATCATAGGTCGACATCGTGTTACGAGGCATGTCCTGCTTATTGGGTTGTACTTCATAGCTGCGAAAGCCCCTGGTATTCATGGCATTGAAGGTCTCTGCTTCGCTGCCAGTGTGGATGGTGATCCGTTGGATCACCTCTCTCAGCTACTCCTTCCAAGGACGTGTTTGCTCTGCCTGCTTTGTTGTTAATTCTCGGGCTTCGGGCTTTGTATGAATGAGCCTATTGTTATGCGCACATGTTAACATCTTTTGGCTCAATATCATACGTAGACATCGTTTCACGAGGCATGTCCTGCTTATTGGGTTGTGCTTCATAGCTGTGAAAGCCCCTGGTATTTATGGCATGGAAGATCTCTGGCGCGCTGCAAGTGTGGATGGTGATCCATTGGATCACCTCTCTCAACGTGCATTTTATCTTCGACCGCCCCACAGTCGCATCTGCAGATGCTTGAATCAAGGTGTTTAGACGCAGTATCCCTGCTTAAACTCTTCGTATGGCACGATACTGCAGAAATGGCCAGGATGCGCAGCTTCGTCAGCCTGCTTTTTATGTTTCAAGTTTTACTTCGTTTGATCATATACCCGCTGTAAAATTGCATTGGTTTTTTTTACGCACTTGCATTGCCATCGCCTCGCGCCTGTATGGCACTGTGTGTTTCCGTGTCACGGCACCCTTCTATTAGGATTGGGCCCCCCAGCCAAATTTAAGGTTTTACCGAATCAGTCACACGATAACAGCTCACGATAAGGATTACGACACGACCAAGAGGATTAGGATTGGGACCCCAGCCTCAGAGTTAGGATTGCGGTCCGGCCCCAGGATTAGGATTGGGACCCCCCCCAGGATTGGGATTGGGACCTGGCCACAGGATTAGGATTAGAACCCCGACCCTAGGATATGGATTAGACCACCACTCTGGATTAGGGATTAGAAGTGGTCCACCCCTGTTGAGATTAGAGGATTGCTGACCGGTACCCACCCCCTGGATTAGAGGATTAGGACCACTTTGCACCCCTCTGAGTTCGCTGACATCGAAGGCAAACAGGCGGTTCGAGCTTGCCGAAGCCGCGAATCCCGAGGGAGATGCGGGGCACCTTGATTGGGCGCTCATCATCAGTTGACTCGGGCATGTTTAACTATGCATATGCTTAGATGTATGAAAATGTCTGCGATACAGCTGCGAAACTGCCGCAATGCACATTTCTGAAGTCAAAGAGCCCGCCACCGTAAGGGCCGGATTAGTTGGGGCGAGCATCCGTATGATACGAAGGGCTCACTTACAACCTTTGTAACGCTCTCAGCCTAAGCGAGCCCCACGCACCACGCACGAACGAATTTAGGCCCTTTTCGGTGATATCCAAATTTTTTGGAAGCACGATCGCGTCCCGTTTTATTGTAATAATTGTCCGTGTTCCTGAATCAAGGACTCGTGTTATCGCGAGTATCCGTTAGCATTATGTTTCCTCTCGTACCTGGCGGCTTGCCGTGGGGCCAAGACCCGCCTACTTCGCCTCCTCATCGATTCGTTACCGTTATGCCTGTGCGTGACGATCTCATCGTCCCGCCGTTACACCTGCCGCTGGTACGTTTGGTTTGTTTTTGGGCGGGGCCCCAGCACGAAGCGCCCAGGG